CCGTCTGTCCGTCTGTCCGTCCGTTTCTACGCAAACTAGTCCCTCAGTTTTAAAGCTATCTGCTTGAAACTTTCCCAAAAGTTGTCTTTCTATTGCAGGTAGTATATAAGTCGGAACGAGCCGGATCGGGCCACTATATCATATAGCTGCCATATAACTGAACGATCGGAAATGCCATATCTTTGGTGTTTTTAAAGTTAGGAAGTTGGGATTTTCTATGGGTTTTATTTTTGACTAAAAAATCCGACCTCCCAAATTTCATAAGGATCGGACGACTATATCCTATAGCTGCCATATAACTGATTGATCGGAAATGCCATAACATTGGTGTTTGTAAAGTTAGGAGGCTGGGATCTTCTATGGATTTTATATTTGGTTAATCAATCCGACCTACCAAATTTCATAAGGATCGGCCGACTATATCTTATAGCTGCCATATAACTGAACGATTGGAAATGACTTAACTTTGTTGTTTTTAAAGTTAGGAAGTTGGGACTTTTTTTAAGTATTAAGAATGCATCATATGAATAATTTTGGAGAATATAATTTATAGAATATTCTGCAAGGGTATATCAACTTCGGCTCCGCCCGAAGTTAGCTTTCCTTTCTTGTTCATGTTTAATTTCAGTTAGTGCCGCCTGCCGGAAACTGGAAACCTTTTGGCGGCCATCCAGGGCGAGTGGGCGTGTTTTTGTTTGGCAATTGTTTGGAGTATGTGTTTGGCTACACAAACCGCCACACATGGAACTCTATTTGCCATGCTCGTGTCAGCTTGATGCTTCTGTCAATTGGCCCGAAACTGTGCTCCATGCTCCGCCATTTGGTATGCCGTTGGTAAACCTGCAACTGGCCCAAATCCATGGAGAAATATAGTGGAAACTCATCTAATTGGCATCAAACTTTTTCGACACCTCAACTCTTTAACTGGCCTAGTGTCAGACCTTCTTCAAGCGTTTAATGAGTAGAGAACGTTTAGCATATAATATTCGCCAACACCAAAGTTTCGAGGGCAAAAGAGTTTTAAAACTTTCAAGCCACTCGCATATGAATATTATTTGCTGCACATTTTCCCAGCAGACCGGACACATGCGAAAATATATATCCCACAGCCCCCGAAGACAAAAACTAAGTTTGAACTTGGCTCGAGTGGCATTTCCCAACCATACAACCACTCTCACGCCCTCAGACAACATAAATAAGCAAGCATGAGTTGCCTTTAAGTGAAATTCAATAACGCATAAAATTCCAGGGCACAAAGACCTCCATACAAGCACATGTGCTCGTGGGAAAGTGGGTGGTTTTTGGGTGATAGTTTCCTCAGGCACTCCATAAGAATGCAGGGGAATTTTGCATATTACAAATCATTGTTTGGCTCGAGTGCATACACGCAAAGAAACCCATATAAAAAGGGAAATAATAGACTTTTTTTTTCAAATTTGACAAGGTTACAAATTTTAAAATGTAAATATATAAAAATAATATAAATAACTCGCAACCTTTTCCAAATTTTATACTTGGACTATTCATTTAATATAACCTTATACATTTATCTAAACTAAAAAGTTTATAAGTGCTTTGGTATTGTGACACGACAGAAAAACCCATTAATTCCACTAGTTAATTATCATTAAAATCTACTATTGACTAAGATTCAATTTTTATTAAATCTTTCGTTCCATGACATCTTTTTTTCCGAGTGGACTTTATAAGTTGGCAACAAATTTGTTGAGTCAGCACATTGGAAGCCTTATAAATTGTTGAGTACCCGAGACTGACATTGCTAACTCGGTTATGAATTCCCATTTACTTTTGCATTAAATCCTGGCCAAATATGCAAAACACATTTGCCAGCTGGAAAATTAAAGGCGGGAAACCGAAAGAAAATGGAAACTTCACCCTCGATAAGTCAACAAGTCGTTCTAGCTGTTTTTTGCTAAGACAAATTAAATTTATAAACAAATGGCGCACAGCAAACAGAACTTGGGCTGGCGAAAAAGTTAAGCATCGTGCATTTGCCAAAGCCCCGGGGTTTGGCATCAGCAGCAGCAGCAACAACCACAGGATTCGCAGGATGTGAAGGAGGTGGAGTTGCAGGAGCAACAAGCGGACTCAGAGCAAATGCCAGTTATTATTCTTGTACCCGCCGAAGTACTGCCGCATTTTTCGTGTTTTGGGGTTTTTTCGCATTAACCGAAAACTGTTGAGTGGGTGGAGGTGGAGGGCGGTACCTTTAAAAATGTTTCACTTAAGCGGGGAAGCTGCTCTCGAGCCCCAATAAAAACAAAATGTGTACACGACAAACAAACATAAAGTTAGGAGCTCGTTAAATTACGCCAAGGGGTAAAAATATGCGAACATGCTTTCACTTTTACAGCTGCCATCCGAACGAGCGACCGTCTGTATTTGTACCAGTGTGTATCTAAATAATGTGGGTTGTCAAGACGGATATACCCCCCCTCGCACACGAATCCCCCTTCAGCAGCAGTGCCCCCCTGCGATTCCAATATCCTTCCTAGTTCCGCCCATCCATTGCCAGATAGGTTAAGTGCGCCGCCAGCTATTCCCAAACATATATTTTATAATCCCAGCAGAAGTCGGCAACGCCGAGCACGTGATGCCATAAAGTCGGTCGAACGCAGGAGCGACTTAGCATAAGCCTGGCTTGCGGCATTTCCCAGTTTCCAGTTTCCAGTTCCCAGTTGGTGTAAAAAGCCCCGTTCCCAAATCTTGGCTTTATATATGGGTGAAGGGTCTGCCAAGTTGCCGATTCAGTGGAGCGCACATTGTTAAGGAAAACAGAGGACGCGTTCGGGTGCACAAGGCGCGAAAATCTGATTTAAGAACGGACCAAGCCGCAAAAACCAAAGCCAAAATAAAATTCATGTGCAAAAGGGAAAGGAAAATTAAGACACATACCTTTACATCGCCCTTTGACCTTTAACTGAAATTCAGTCTAAAATATATTTTCCACAAATATATATTGTTTTGCAGTTCAAAAAGTTATTTGTTATTAAGTTACCTTATCAGAAACGCTATTATATTTAAGGGCATTCAAAATAATTTTCCTGATAAAATGTTAAAATGTTTTCATAGACACAAATTGAAACAAGAAACCATTAGCTTACACAATTATAATTGGATTTTACTTGATACATAGGATATTCATTTTGTAGATTGTATAAATCACTCAATTAGGTCAACAAATAAAATTCATTAAGCATTGCAGCCGGCAATAAATACAGCCTAATAAATTTATGTTATTTTAAAGCTGCTTTCGGAAAAACCAATTGCAGGCAATATGGCAACTCATAATGATTGATTCGATATCCAAGTTCGGCAAGGGCAACTACGTTCTATAAATAAGCGAAACGGATGGAAAGGAAGCGATTGCAACTACAACATTCGCATTAATCGCTTCCCCCGGCAAAGAGAAAGTTTATCAATTTCGCCAGGGACCGGAAAAAAAGGGAACGCTCACGCCAAGCGCGATATTAAAAAGTGCCCCAATTCATTTATGGGTACATATTTTTTTTTGGGACAACATCAATAACCGATGAGCTGCCATAAATCCAGGGGCATTCATTTTATGTGGGTCCTGTGGCAACACGGTAACTATAACGATTTCAGCAAACCCCCACAACTGGCAACCTACAACCTGGTCACGCAATCCGCAGAAGGCTGCAAAAAGAGGAAAAAGTTGTCAAGGCACCACTTTAATTTCCTTGATATATGCCCAATGCGATAAGTTTCACCTGACAATGAGAGCATATCTATTATTAAGATCTGGCATCCTGGAAAAGCCGGTCGCAACGAGCAGAAACACATGCCAATGACCGCAAAAAGAAGCAGATTCTAAGCCGGTTCGGGTCATTAACATAAACAACTCTGCCCAGAAAACACATAAGTGGAATGCCAGAAAAAAAAGGGCACAGCCAGCAGAACCTCAACGAGACAAAGGACCCGTGGCTGAAAATATCCTGGAGAGCTGTCAGCCCGGCGGTGCATAAATCATGGCGACCTGCCGGCAACCGAAATAGAACCGAAAACGAAAACAGGGGATCACGATGTCAGCAAATGGCAAAACTGTCATTTTCTAAAGAATTTAATTGACAGTGGAAAGTCATAAATTATATGGCATATCAAAGATGGGCGAACAGGAAGCGTGTCCTGCGGCATTAGGGCTAATTGTGGGGATGCCCCGTGCCACTTGGCAAAACAAAGAAGGTCCTGGGGAAACACGTGTGTGCCCGGGCGTGCGTGAAAGCAAAAACATTCCTATTTGGTTTGCTAATAAATTAATGATACACTCGTAGAGGGCCTGCCTCCAAAAATCTCGGCGCCCGAAAGAATAGAGGACGATTCTGTGACAAACACTTTGGCGACATTCGCACGCGAAGGCAATTTATAGCCCGAAAGGACATTAACGGAAGGACCAGCAGCCGTGTGACGAATTTGGGATGTGTTTTCGAGGACGAGGCGTCACTCTGACTGGCCCAAATAAAACGGTAGCGAAATTCTGGGACCAAATCATTTATCTTTCGGCCATTGTGGAAGTGCTTAGCCAACACTGGCAGATGTAAACACTTCACTGGATCATAAGACTAAGCCTTCGCAAAAACCTTGGAACCGATTCACGGGAAATGTTTAATGGAGAAAAGGAAATACAACAATTAAGGGCAGAAAATGTAGGTAACATTTAGAGGCCACAGATTAAAGCTGTAGTTAAAGCTTAAACTGTTAAAGGCAAAGTTAAATTATGAAAATATCAAACAAATTTTTAAATTTTTAGTACATAAAGCACATCGGCTTTCATGTGTATTTTTCGGTACTGACTAATTTATCAAAGCCATATTTTTTTAAATAATAAAAAATCAAAGAGCTTGCAAAAATTATTTTTGAAATGCTGAAAAAAGCCAACTAAATTGATATACATCATGAATTTTCGTTGAAAGATTTTGTTAACACACTTTTTTTTTTCACACAATACCCTTTGACAACGCTGCCCAAATTGAATTAAAATTTTCCATTGCAAAAGTAAAAGTTTTGGTCGTTATTTTGGTCACCTAAACCAAATTGAAGCTAAAATGGAAATGCATAGGCCTGGCGATCGTAAAGGTGGGGTCACCCAGCGCACCTGGCGTCGCATCCTGGAGCACATGGCTCCGATCAAGGACTGCAAGGTGACCCAGCGGGAAATCTGTTGGTACCGCGGACTATCCCAATCCCAGATGGAGGCAGCCAACAGTTTGGGCAATATGCTGAGGGATAACATGGATGAGATGGCGGTCTCGGGATTGGCAAAGGTTATTGTGCGTTTTGGATTGCACCCCACTCCGCCGTGGGAAATCCTTAACATGGTGATGATTCTGAGCCGGGGAAACGACCTGGCCTTCCTCTGGTTCCTCATGGAAATGTGCTACAAGACGGAGAATCACGGCGAGACCTACAGTGTCAACGAGCAGATCATCATGTCCACCATCTTCCGGCTGGACCTGATTCCCACTCTGAGGGAACTAGATCGCTGGCTTCCATTGCAAAATGCCTGTCAACCGGAAAGGAATAAGGACGAAGGTCTGAGAGAAAGCCGCAGTCGGAAGAGGAAAAAAGATCAGGAACGGCAGAAGGAGCTGGCTAGAAAGGAAAAGATCATGACGCCCCTGTCGCCGTACTTTCAAGAACCAATTATTGGAGGAGGAAGACTGCGACAGGAGCGCCGTTTGCTATCCGATTATCCAGCTAATTCAGCATGCCTTTTCAAAATAGAGGAGGAGCCGCTCGAATCGAGTATATGGTCCCGCTGGTTTGGTAGCTACAAATTAAGCGAGTCCCACCGAGTGGGTAAATCCATCATTTTCGAGGAGATCAACAGCATTTTTGAGTCGTTTAAAGCAGCCTCATTGCCACCCCGCGATGTTGAGTCCTTGTGTGCCCATCACCAGTATATTCGGCAGATGGAAAACTCGCTGAAAGCCCAACTGAAAGTGATGAAGCAGAGAAAATGCGAGGAGCTGATCACCGTCAGGAATCGAATGGAGGAAAAGAAGCGGAAGCGAGTGATTCAGGAGCTGGAGGAAATGAGTGACTGCTATTTGAAGCGTTTCCAGGACATGGCAGCCCGTGCCAGATTGGCCTCCACCAGGAAACAACTCTTTGGCGGCAGTTCCGCTGGGGAATTTAACTTTGGCTTCTCGGAAATGGAACCCAAGTGCGATGATTTTAAAGAGGAAAAGTGCCAGACTTTCGAGGCAGACAGGCCACAGGAAAGACCTGTTACTATAAAGCCTAAAAGAAGAAGTAGATCTGGCAGTAGGACAAGGTTAACGAGTGGGGCCGAACCCAAGCCCAAATCGAAGAAAAAGTCTAGATCTAGATCTAAGAGCAGGTCCAGATCCAGTTCCCGAAGTCGATCCAAAAGAAAGAGCAAAAGACTGTCTAAGAAAAAGTCCGAAGAAGAAATAGTAGAGCCAATCCCTCACCGAAAAGGCAGAGATGAATTCCCGGACATATTGGTCAAGTTACTAAGAGGAGAAAGACCCATTTTACCAGACTGTCCTGACTTTCAGCCCGAACCCACAAAGTGCGCCAAGTGCCATATTTACAATCCCCGAGAGGGTTTGCCCTGGAATCGAACCCCAAAACAACGTCCCAGCAGCCTGATGCAGTTCCTCCAGTTGTGTGGCAAAAAGGAGAATGAGAAAGAGGATTCACATTCCGAACAGCCGGATACGAATCCTTCTTCTCATCCTGATGGGAATCCTTCTTCCCATCCCGATGCCAAGGAGAGTGTTCAGCTCTTGCAATTGGGACCACCAGGCTGTAATTGTATACAGTTCAACTATCGTGAGTTGTTTGGCTCGCTGCACAGGACTCATTTGGACGACGAAAGGATGCGTCTGAAGGAGGCCTTTGTGCGGGCCATCGACGACGATGTCCAGTATCTCAGTGCGGCCCTGAATGGCGAGGAAGAGGGTTCCATAGATGCCATGGTGGACAGAGCGGCCAAGCGGGTTTTCGCCGAGGATGTGCAGGCATTCCACAAGGAACTGGAGCGATTGCAGCGGAAAAAGGCCGAAATGACGGAGCGACAAACAAAGCGACTGAACTTCGGCCGCGATTACTATGATCCCGAAAATCTGCCTTTGATGAAGGAGATGCTCAGACTGGGTCTTCAGAAGGTAGCCAGGGATAAACGGTATGTATTGCCCACCCTGCCGGATGTGCATTCGGTGCCCTATCTCATTGAATGGATTCGACTGCGCTTCGGAAAACGATACTCGCAGAGGGAGAAAGAGAAGATCCTGATGAAGGATAAACTGGTCATGGAGCAACTGGGCCTGGTGATGCGGAACCATCTGGTGAATATACCTTCCCTCCCAGTCGGAGATAACGAAAAGAACATGGCCAAGCTGAGGGGCTTTGCCAAATGCCACAGGGAACTGCACACCAACCGATTTCTGGAGGCCATCATGGAGGTGGAACGGGTCTTCTATTCGGCCATGAAACCCCAACTCTGCCAAGCGGCAACGGAATCCACATTTTTAGCCTACCTGCCCGCCCATTACCACGACTTGGGCTTCACCGTCAATAATGAAAACTTAGTAATGGGGGCTTCCCATTAGCTGCCCAATTATTTCATAAAGACGAATTTTCCCGGAAGCATTGTAGTTTTACTAAGTTCCAGTTGGGTAATTGTCCCATGCAACTCATCGCATTTAATTGCGATTTGGCTAGATTGCAAGTTAAATTGCTCTTTGAAATTCTAAGAAACAAGGCCGATTGCTAGTTTCGGCAAGCCGAAGTTTTAATACTTTTTCAGTCAATAATTTGGCTAAGTATAAACTAACAATTTGTATACAAATGTATAATTTATTTATTTTATATGTCCAAAATCACGAAAAAATTAACTCCAGTTTCAGTTTTTTGGTCAAAACAAAGAGAAATAATGGTCAACGATTAGAATGTCATACATCGTTGAATTCGTTATACAATTTGCAATCGATTGGAAGTCAAACCAAAATTAAAAATGCGAAAATCAGTAAAAAAATTAATTGCTCCAAATCAAACTCGAGTTGCTAGTTCACATCTGCACAAAACAGTTAAAACAAAAACGGCCTTATACATTTGTATGTGTTGGCCAAAGTCCCAAACTCCAGTTTCTGTGTTTGGATCAAAACCACGGGAAATAATGGTAAAATGTTGTTGATGGTCACCCATAAACGTTAATTGTTTGTGGGTGAATTATTAAAGCCGCCACTGTCTTCTGGCCAACTCGCGATTAACTTTGCGTTGGCAACCTCCTCGTGGAATTCAGACTACGAGCTTCTGTGTGCGACGAAGCGAATGCGTTATCCGCTCGGAAAATGGAGTAAAGTCAGCTTATTAAAATATTAATTGAAAGTGGAAGCGTCGATAACTGACCGACAACAATGGCGGCAGCCCGTCCATTTCCATGCCATTTCCTTCTCAGTTCCGAGTCCGCATCCATGTTTTCATGTACCGAAAAGTAAACACTGCTTTATCGCCCTCATAATTATGCCGTAATGAAAGCGCCAGACACGGCCAAATAAACGGCGGCATCGTCCTTAGCTCCTTAGCTCACCTGGGCAGCCATACGAGAACCAGGACTCACAGGGCACAGTATGTGGGTCCTCTCGTAAATGCGGGCGTCCCATAAAGCTGCAGATACAAAAATATCCGAATAACGCGTTAAAATGTCCAGACTTTACTTTAGTGACGTGGCGATACGCTTAGAAACCAGCAGATGTTGTTCATGTTCCTAGACTATTTTATGGTTGCCTTAATTTTAGGCTGAAATGTATTGACTTAACATTTTCTTTATAATTTTAACTACACAAAAAATGCGTTCCCAAAAAAATACGGAGTTGGCAGAATTAAGGCAAACTACCTTTGTATTTATTATTGGAAAATCTAATCTCCTTCTAAAATGTCTGAAAATACTTCATTAACAAAAAAATAAATTTTCAAATAGTTCACAAATAATTCAGTATTTCTAACAATGCAAATTCCCTTAAAAGGGAACTAATTAATCATGACCCATTGCTACCCAAAAGTCAGCATACCCTTATCCCCATAACCTTTTTCCCTACCTAGCTATTTTGCGCATACGCCCCGTTGGCCATAGCCACACGAAAACCCACATTCTGCAGATGCCCCTTAATTTCGCCGGCAGAAGATGCTGCATTCATTGTTTTACGAGCCATAAACATTAACAATTAGGCCGGGTACCCAAGCCGTTATGATTTTTACAGCCTGCTTTAATTAGAAAAGCACATTAGCAGAGGTCCTAGACAGCTCGTCTTAGTCCTATTTCAGCTGTTCAGTTGCAGTGGTCATGGACGCGGGTGCCGTAGGCGAAGAAAATGAAGTAGCCAACACCAGCGCCCAGCAAAACGGCCACACAGAGCCACACGTTGAAGGTCATGAAGACGAGCATCAGCAGGAAGGATATGAAGACCTGCAGGACGTGCAGAAAGGTCTGCAGGAGGTGCATCCTGGAGCACCAGACCTGTAGCCTCGAGGTTTCGCCAGATTCCGAGGGATCCTGTTGCACATGATGGTGGGTGGGTGGTGTATAGATAACCGAGGACTGAGCAGGCGGAGAAGGGTTGCCATGTCCGGAGGGCTGAAGTGGTGGCATCGAGGGCGACCTTGGGCGGTAGGCGTAAATCTGGGTACCAGACTGTTGGCTTGGCCCTTGGCGGATATGTCGGCTGGTTGTAATTGTAGTTGGCCTCCCTGTACCGCCGTGGTTGACCATACTGATCCCTTCCACCCGCCAATCTTCTCCTGTCCCACGCAAATAGCCACTCTCTGAAGAACTTCAAGGCCTCATAAAGCACGGCCACCAGAAAAATGAGCAGACAGGATAGAATCAAAGCCAAAGCGGACTTAGTATGCCAGAACTTGAACAGAATGGTCTCCGTATCGCCGGCATGGAAAAACATCGACATGGTCATGTCGTGTCCCTCTCCTCCGTGATCCCCGTGCTTCGTATCCGCATGAGCTCCATGATGCGACATCTCAGGCGAATGGTATCCTTCGTGAACTGAAATCGGTGGACTAGGATCAGAGGATCCATGGGAACCGTGATGGACGTGACTTTCAGAAGCATCAGCTCCATTGTGATTCATGGTCAAACATCCGTGAAAATGAATTTGAATTGTTTAATTGTGTAAACTCGATCGACAATTAAGTGACAGCTTTCACAAAGATTTCGACAACCAGTTCGCTCAGCGTAACCTTTTTGAAGTAGATCTGAAGTAGACTGACAAATTAGATTGAATGACAAGAAAGCGATAACTAACATTTAAAAAAAAACTATAAATGCACTACAATTTATCCGATAAATCAATTGGGTTGTCTGATAATTGCACTCTATTTTATAAAACTAAATATAAGAATGCCTGCCTAACTACATCCCCTTTTGAGTGCTTTTCTATGTATAGTTGCCAGTTTCGTCCGCAGCCCAATCTCAATTCGGTTGTATCATTAACATAAATGACAGGCGGGCAGAATATGCCACGTGCCACAAAATCAATGCAGTTGCTGTCCGTGGTCCGCTTTTTCTCGTATAGTACAGTATGCGGGCCGGGACAAGCGAGCAAATTTGCTGGCGCTAATGGAATCCATTTTTCACCAGTCGCACGGATGAGACGAGTTGCACCGAAATCCTCCAATCCTCCGGCCCAGCCATGCATATTAATAAAGATTTAAGCGTCAGCAACCGGGGAAATTAAGTTCGTACACTGGGAGCCCAGCTCGAGCACTTACAATTGCTCACGAGCCGGCCATTAGATGGTGTAACACCGAATATTAATCATACGCCGTGTTAATTTATGGCCCAGCCACTGATTGCTGAACAAGATTTTTTAGCCAGACGTGCTGCAATCTTCGGTTGCCCTTTTTCGGGAGTGTACGTGGCGGTGAAAGGAATCCGTGGCCATATCCCTGCTAAAATGAAGCCACTAGCTGTCGCTGGGAACGCCTCGCTGACCGCCCATTAATGCCGCTGCTTTGTGCAGGAGCACATTAATCATTGCGAACGCTGCAGCAGCCATCGCAGCATGGCTCCAGTGTAATTTTTTTCCTTCAGGGTGGCGTCTCTGTTTTGCTTTTTTCGGGCTCGCAAAAAACAAAGGACCCAACGAAGCCGGCAACAAAGTGAGTCCTGCATTAAATGCTTTGCTTTTCTGTGGCTGTTCGAGCGCTTCCGCTTTCAGCCTGCCTCACAGACCTTAATTGTCGAAACGGAAGAAAAGCGAGATTTGTAAAGACAGTATTAGAACATATTGAATACCCTGCTTGATTGGAAGTTTATTAATAAAAGCATTTTTATAGAAGAAAGAAAATACTTGCTAGTTAATGACCCCCTGATCTTTCGACTTTTATACATTTGCTATAAACTCAAATATACATTAGAACAATGTTAAAGTTATATAAGCTTCTACGTAAATACAAGAAATACATCACTTCTTTTTTCTTCATTTAAAACCATTAGAATGAGTTCCTTGGACATAAGAAGCAAAAACGAAATTAAGGAAATCCCTTTACGTTATCCAGTTTAGAGGAAAGCCTGTCGGCTACCCTTTACTTAAGCTGCAGAGTCCATTGTTTGCAGTCCTTGGCTGCCCGGGAATGTAATTCCTTTTGATGCCCGACACGGCTTAAAGCTCCTTGAGGTCCTGGCTCTCCGTTCCGTTCTTTATCAATTGTCTTGTAGAGCAAAGCGTTAATCATGCGGCATTTAACGAGACTAAAGACGACTGCTCCCACGAGACTGAGATTTCGATGGTCAAAGTTTTGCCGCTCATCGTCCTCTTCGTTCGATAAAGCGACAGCCATGAATTCCGGGAAAGGAATGAAAAATGTTCGCCCAATGTGTGTGTGTGTGTATGTGTGCGTGGGTGTTGGGAAACCCAAAAGAAAAGCGGAGCATTCCGACCCAGCCGGGCAGCCTTGCGTGTAATCGCGCTGCTAAGTCCATTTAATCAACTTAATTTTGTACAAATTCTCAGACATTTCGGCTCACTTTTCCCCGTGCTTTCGTTCAATTCGGGAAAGTGACGCAAGCCCCGCAGGTCGGCATTTAATAAAACATTTTCCACAATTATAACAATGCGTTGGGATGCGGGGATTGCGGGGATCGCGGAGGAGAGGAGTGCAGATTCCTATCGCGTCATGTTGAAATGGAGTTGTTAGCGCTCGGAATAATTTACATAATTTGTTTTGAATACATTTTGACAAAGGCAAAGGTGTGCGCATTGCATACTTTGGGGCTGTTCCCGGCTTACCCGGCGCATACGCAATATTTGCCTTAACAATGTTTGCAAGTTTTAATGAATGAAAGCCACCCCACAACACGTGTTTTTATTCAGCTTATTGTCACAGAAGTACGAAAAGTAAATAACATTTGATTACACTTTTTATTTCAGATCCCCCGAGCCATTTAATACCCACACAAAATATTAAATTCCCATTTCGTCGAGATGCTGCTTTGATATTTATTAAATTTAACATCTAACATCCAAGGGCCATCCTCTCATCCATCCCTCCAAGTGAAAGTCATTTGCTGAAACTGGAGCTCATTTCTTTTGGGGCAAATACATTTGAAAATTTGTCGTATTACCTTGCAGCGCATTTGACATTTGGATGCCGGGGGAGGGTCATCGATTTTCGATTGCGTTATCGAAACAAATCTAGCCACTTTGGCGGCCTTTTTCGCTAACATCCCGAAAGTGAGAGACTGGAGAGTGCCACTCACAGGAAATTGAGCTCAATTGGGGTTTTTTGTTACGTGCCGCTGCCTTTTGGCTTGGCTTTTATTGTTTCTCCGGACGGGACCGTCCAGAAAAGGGTCCTGTTCGTCCTGTCTGTCTGTTGATTTATATGGCGAGTGCTTGTTAACACTTCACCGTTACGAGCCCGACAACTGCAGGCATCTTCATAAGCGATTTTTTTTCTGAAAGCCCCGCTGGAAACTTCTCAAGGACATCGTGCCGACCCTCGTGTCGATTCGAGATGTTTCATAAACGTCGTATTAGTGTCACGTAACTACTAATAGAAAAAATTGCTCGTAAAACTGCAGACTTTACTGCTGGCGATACGATAAATTTTACGCTCCCTAGCTGCACCAATTTCACTGCACTCGTCAGCATCGTTTTTCATTTCGCTTTTTTTTTGCGTGCCGAACGCAGCTTTTTGAATACAAAAATCCGCTTGAGTGAAAGGCAAAGCGCACCGAAAACACATATCCCCGTCCACATCCGAGGCGGAAGGCGTGGCCTTGTGCTCGGTGTGTGTCCTTTTTTTTTGGCTGGCTCATAAAGTGGCATCCTAGCAAGTAGTCGGTAGTGCAGAGAAGCGGGCATAAAATCATCATTTATCAGCAGGCACCCAGCAGCTAGAATTGCACCGAGAAATAAGTCTGAGCCTTAACAACATTTTATATGGATTGTAAATCATTGTAAAAATTGTAAATCAAATTAGGGATATTAATTTAATCATTCAAGTATAATACGATTTTTTAATAACCATATTTTGTGGTTATTTTATTTTAATATTTGATTTTTTTTTGTATGTAATGAAAGGGTAGGAGAAATCGTAATCTCAATTTGTTTTGATCAACATTTTTTTAAGATCAGGGACTTTTAAAAGTCTTAAAAAAACAGATCACATTTTTTCCTTGTGTGGATTGGCTGGAAACGCACCACAATTCTGTCAAATTTGTGTGATACTTTTTGCGAGTGTGAAACTGGTGCTGCTGCTGGCGCCGTCGGATCCGGCTCACTTTGTCATTGTCATACCCTTTTTGGAGCGCCTTGCTACGGTTCTGTTTCCTGGAATCTCGACCGCCTGCTTAGGATCCCTTGTCTTGTTTTTTGCCCGGCAAAAAGTGGAACTGAGGAATGAGCAGATATTTGCATACAGCAACGCACATTTCGAGGGCTTCCGCCGACGATGTTTGTTAGTTTGTTAGTGTTTGCCATTTGGTATGAACGGCATGTTGGCGTCGCTTTCCCGTTTTTTCCCTTTTCCTTTTCCCCTTTTTCACTTTTCACTTCAGCTGGAGCTTCCGTTTCCGTGCATTTTGCACGTCTGCCCAACTTGTCACTCGCAATGAGCTGAATGCACTCGATGGGCGACTGGCTTGCAGCTGCTTTTCAATGTTTTTTGGCCCGCCAGTCTGTTAAATTGCGCATTGGGTTGACATTCAGCAGCACAAACTGCCAGCAGCTGCTGCAATTCGCATTTGTTAAACTTGAATTCAGTTCTGATTCTTTTACCCGCTTTCGCAGGTTTCTATGAGCTCTGCAAGGTTGAACCTGTCTCCTTTTATATCATTTATTTTGTATCACACCTTTGGTCTGAAATAAAACTCAAAGAACTCAATCGAAGAACTCTGATTGCCTGAAATAGTATGAGATAAGTAAGGTAATTATCTAATTATTTTATTACACATGTTAGTAGTTCTTACTGTGAAATCCTTTCTTCTGAGCACTTTAATAAATTGTATGTGAAATTAAAAACGACATTAAACACTATTAGGAAATTAAACAAAAGATTAGTACTTACTTTTTCCAGAAATATCCAGATTCCCCAAAAATAGTTTAAGTAAAAATTCAAAAGAAAGTCATTTACATTGATACGGTTTGCCTTTTATTTTATGCCTTAATTTCCGCATGTTTTTTTTCGGGAAAACAGTTTTCAAATGCAGTTTTGCAGTTTTGTAAGCTTCACTCGGAAAGTGTTTTTAGTTTTTATTTGTTTGTTATTCTCAATTACTTTGTTTTCTTTCATTTTTAATTATAATATTTGATGTTTGTTTTTGTAATAACCTTTAGTTCGGGTTGCGTATAATTAGCTGCGCTTAGTTTTGTCATGCTCGTTTGCCTTTATTTGTTTTTCATTTTCCGTTCCATTCCATTTTCAATTTCATATCATGGGTGGCGATTGTGGGTGTGTGAAAGTGTATGCTTGTGGGTTATGTAAATAGTTTGATAGTTTATCTCTCACTTGTGTTTACGTTGAAACAACAAGTTATGAATAGCTCAGTTTCCATTTTCCATTTGCTGGTTGGTTTGTTGCGAATATCATAATGCACTTCTCGCAGTGCTACATACATATACAATAAAAACATGCACACTTAGTTCGACTATATCTATATGTATAGGTATGTGTGTATTACGTTTGATGCAGCTTCGATCTAAACATAAAAGTAATGCTTAATGTTTGGTATCACAGAGAGGCGTGACTTTTCATACAAAATACAACGAAAGACTAATGCAGAAAGTTACAAAATACAATTTAGTTCTTCTCACTTGAGCTTGAGCCGCACAGTGTATACATATATATAGGCTACCTTTTCTATATCTTTATATATATATATCGTTATAGACAGAGCCGCAGATGGCTGGGTATTTACAGTGGATAGCTTCTTGCACAAACATAAATATATCTAGGTTTATCAGTAGGCTTAATTGGCTGCAATCTGCAGTTTGTAAATTTAATTTTTGGCTCAGTTTGAGTATCGCAAATCAACTAACTACGCTGGCAAATTTTGGGGGGGGGGCGGAAAATGGGGATTGTTTGGTTTTCCATTTTTTTTTTTTTGGGGGTATCAATAGATTCGATAACGATTGTGTCTCATATCCGGTGCTGATTGTTTTCGAAACATAAAAGGAACCGTAGAAACCTGTCACAGTTACAACCGTGTGTGTGTGTGTGTGTATGTGTTTGGTTTGTGAGTGTAGGTGTGGTGTGTGTATGTGTGTGTGGTATAGACCACGCCGATTGCTTAGTTCTACATTTAAAATTACAACAACAAGTTACATTTAGAGGAGTCGTTTGGGGCGGTGCACATATACAGAGATACGCACTACTAACACTACTACATACAAATATCCATGTGTGTGTGTACTGGGGTGGTGAAAATTAATATTTGGACCGTTCTTGGTATATTTTCCTTTGAGGCTTTATGTCTAGAATAAAGTCATCTAGCATTTGTTAAAGAATTCAATTTAATTACGAAATATTCAATTTTGTCACTAGGTGTAATTTTTCAGCCTGCAAAAGCAATTAGAGCTCTTAAATCACTTTTTAAATCGATTAATTTTACTTTGCCTCTTTGGACTTTAGCACAATAAATATTATTTTCAAATTAATTTAACTAGTTATGCACTAAAAGCAAATTATTTTGGCCTTCATAAAATTTTACACATTCTGGCAAACAAAAAAGGCCACACCACAATATTTTAATATACTTTTAGGTGTCCTTCAAAATTAATAGCCAGTCAAGAACTGCAATTAAAGCCATCCGATAGATTAAACAACTAAATAAGCTGCTATTCTGTGAAATACCTCAAGGAACATGTACTTAAAACTGTCCAAAATTGTGTTTTTCCCCTAAACCTTTACATTATCTATTTTATTTAGATGGCCACCCCAGTGTGTATACTTAGGTGTGTGAGTGTGTCGAGGAGAGACGTCGCCTTCTTCCGAAAACCTTTGGAAGATCCTTCGAGCAGCTCAGATTCGCTTGGCTTTGCTGTTATCCTGGGTGATGGATGTGTCCTTTGGAAAGGCCTAGAGAAAGCTCTCCCTGGCGCCGTGCCTCTCATCGCCCAGCATCACCCGTTGCGAGGGAGGCTCGCCGTACTGATCCTGGTAGTAGTTCTCCCGCATCATAGTGTTCAGGCTGGAGCAGCGGAAGTAGAGGATCTCCTGGAAGGGCTTGCGGAAATCCCTATTTAAGGTGGCATAGATGATGGGGTTCAGCAGCGAGTTGGCATAGCCCAGCCAGAGGAATAGGGACGAGAGCGATGCCGGCACGTGCATCGTTTCGAAAGGACGAATGAGGGCCAGGATGAAGAACGGCAGCCAGCAGACGGTGAAAGCGGACATGATGATGCCCAGTGTGGTGGATGCCTTCTTCTCCTTGGCCAGCTGAAACCGCAGCTTCTTGTGGTGCGGCGAGCCCAAGAGTCCTGTCGATCCACTCACCCCACCGCCACTGCCATGTCCTGCAAGGACTCCACCGCCACTGCTCAAGCCACCGCAGGTGGAGTAGGTCAACGAGGTGTTCCCGACACTACTGTGCCGCTGCCCATTTCCCGAGCTGGCCAACTCCGTGTGGCCCAAAGCAGGAGCCTGCGGGGCCGTGGGGGATCCTGTGCCGTTCAGAGCCTGCTGCAGATGCGTCTGGGCCCGCTTCTCCTCCAGGACAATCCGCCGTGCCGCCCTGAAGATCTGATAGTACACGAACAGCATCACCGAGAGCGGGATGTAGAAGGAGCCCAAAGTGGCGTAGATCTGATATGCGAAATTCTGGCACACCGTGCAGATGGGCTGCCCCTCCTCGTCCTCGTGCTCGTTGCCCAGGATCAGCAGCGGCGGCAGTGAAATGCAGGCGGCCGCCAGCCAAACGATGCCCACACAGAGCATCATTCGCCGGGGAGTCCGTTTCACTCCATACTCCAGGGGCTTCGTGATGGCCAGGTATCGGTCCACGGATATAGCGCACAGATTCAGGATCGATGCGGTGCAGCAGAGCACATCGAAGGACACCCAGATGTCGCAGAGCAGCGGGCCGAAGTTCCACTTCTCCAGCACTTCGTAGAGCAGGGCCATGGGCATCACCAGCAGGGCCACACAGAGATCCGAGAGGGCCAGCGAGACCAGGAGGTAATTACAAGGCCTCCTCAACTTGCGGACCATGCACACGGCAATGCAGACGAGGACATTGCCCACCACCGTGCCCAGGATGACGATCAGCAGGACGATGCTCACGAATATGGATGTCAACGGAGGCAGGACGAACTCCCCGGCGGCGAACTCCTCCAGGAGCAGAGGCGTATCCGAAAGGGGCACCAGAGTGGTGTTGCTGTCCCCCAAACTGCTGCTGGTGATGCCCTGGTACGTGACTATGGCAATGGGACTGCTGTTCATCGGGGATCCGAGCAAGAAGGATCCCGGGGACGAGGCCGAGGACGAGCCGGATGCGGTGGCGGAGGCGGAGGCGGAGGCTATGGCCCCCAGGAAGGCGCTGCTGCTGTTGAAGTCCTGCGCGGACGACGGCTCCGTCTCGCCTTCCACGAGCGGAACTGGAGCGGTGGCCTTGGCCGCTGCATAGGCTATCCAACTGCTGAGGAAGAGGACGAAGAGCGTCAGCGTGGCGGTGGAGATCAGTTTCTGGTGGTGGTGGTGGTGGTGCTGCTGCTGCTGCAGTGCGCGGTGGCTCTGATGGCGCCGCCAATCCCGTCCAGACGAAGCCATCAGTCGTTCAATGGTTGCAGCGGGCTAACGCGGCGTATGAGCAACCCAATGCTGACCTGCTGCCCATCATCGTCGTGCCGATGGCCCTCAGCACCATGGCTCATGCTCATCATTAATCATTATTTCAATAAAAATAAGTCCTCTTATTAGTTTCGCCTCGGGCCCCTCGTCGCTCGATTACTAATTTATGTGGGGGCGTGTGCTTAATAAAAGCGCTGCCTGCGGCCGCCAGTTGATGTGGTCATTGACTTTTATGCCTTGTACTCGCTGGTATCTCTTTTAATAAATCTCGTTTTGTGGACTTTCTGATTGTCGGCTGGGCTGCAAAAGAAACGGGAGAAGCAAAAAAAGTGGAAAATTCATTACTCAGCTGAATTTATAAAGTGCAAATCACAGTGTCTTAAAGTCTGAATTTAAATTCGCATAAGAAACGACGGCTTGAGGGCTTTCTGTTCGTCGTCCATCTTTTCTCCTACGTTTTAACATTTTCCTCAGCTCTCCTTTCCCAGCACACAAAGACCTCAACACACGCACATGTCACCCTAATGATGGTCACAGTTGTTACAATTTCCACAGAAAATTTTTAAACAATGAAACAATGAGGGAAAAAAATGGAAAATAAAAGAGAAGCAACCGCGAACGTTTTCATGGGCCGGCGGCCATCGGCAGATGGTTTGTGTACCCGCTAAGAATTTTCCTCATTTTCCCAGACACGCGGTGAATCATCGGCCTTTTGTATTAATTTTCATACTTCTTTTGATTATTGAATTGTTGGCTCAATGCCTGCCACAAACCGCAGGCCACGCCCCCCCTGCCAGCGCCCACGTTTTCCGCCCACCAGCACTTCACGTTCTTCCAAATGCGAAACAAATAAACAAAGGGCAGCTAAAAGGCAGTGGCGCCTACGCCATTGTTGCCGCCATTTTCGTTGGCAGCTTCCGTTTGGCATTTTTATTTATTTCGTCCTTTCGTCCTGCCAACTCCCGCGGCTTCCTGGCCTTGTGGTCACTTCTAGTGGAGAAGGGGACGAGGGGGAGAGCAAAGTCGCGCGTAGAAATACAATTTATACATTTCTCCCTAATTGAATTCCATTGCGAAATGTTCTCGAAGGTGTCGTCGAACCTGGCTTCGCGATTGAAAAGCCTCTTTAAACTGGCATTTGCGAAACCCGCTCCCGTGTGTCTCCCCGCACGATTTATTGAAGGCGGCCAAGTGGCAATTGAGCCAGGAAAATCACGAAGAAAGGGGCGGGGCAAAGGCGTCTAGACTGCCAGACGATGCCACACCTGTGCGCCAGGTGTGAGCCCTTAGACACTCAAAAATCAAGTGAAACTTGAAACAACAGGAGGGCAACTCACATTAAGCTAGAGCCCACAGTATCATTATAAAACTATTATCTGGGGAACGAACTAGTTGGCTGAAAATTAGGTGAAAACTGGCCAGGAATTTCAAGTAGATGTGTACGTCTAGAGAATACTAAACAACTATTTAAAAATACATTTCAAATAATTAAAACAGATGGATTAGGTAAACACATTTTACAGAAATATGAATCAAATACAAATACCTTAACTCTTTCTACATAAGTAACTGATAAATAAAGCTTTAAAAACAGTTTATAAAAGTCCCTAAAATAGGCATGCTAACTTTTAAAGACTTAACATATAAAACAATGGTGTACTTTTACCTTTTATATTATCATTTTTCTAACGTTTAAAATTAAAATGGTTTTTTAACCATTGGGAATCGTTGACAGTTTGCATTCCCAAAATGTGCAAACTGCTCTAAACTCTAAACAATAAGGCATGCACACGAAAATTGGCAAACCAATCGGTTGGATATAATAATAAATACCAATCGCAATGTGTGCGTTGCAATTTGGGAAAATTCATCTCTGGTGCGAAATTGTCTGGCAATTGGAATTTCGGATGCGCACGAGTTCATTTCGTGATTGCGATGCTGCCTGTTTGTGCGAATGCACTCGAATTCAATTGTTTTTGGCGGGTGGCTGCGCTCGAGCGACTTTTCGGTGTTAATTATGCTAATCAAGGGGACAAGATGGCCCCAATTATTTGGTCAGCAAACAACGAGTCGTAAGCCGCTGTAAGCCTCCGGAGTGCGACTCCTGTCCGGATGAATTCTCCCAGCAACAGGACATAAATAATGTAATTTAATTATGAATCGTTCGGGGGCGCGATGGTCGGCGATTTGGCAGCTCAGGCTTAGAGAAGCCTCCTTTGGCAATACGGCCACGTTATTTGTATTATTGCCAAAGCCGACAGGGGCGTAAATATTCATAGGCTTTAATATTTATGTCCTTCGTCCTGCATGAGCAACTTTCTCTCACTCTGAACAGCCCTGTCCCTTTTTCCTTTTCCCTTCCCAAATTAGACATTCCACCCTGCCAGCGCACAACTTTTCAAATATTTGGCAGTTTCTCTGGCTTCTGCGGCAGCGTCTTGAGGTTTGCCGCATTGCCTCGACTTTGCTGACAGGCCCTGCTCAGCATCTAAATCTGAATGGGGTTGGGAAAGCCGGTTGCTAAACAAGCGTAATTTTAGTTGGCCAACTGCTTCACTTTGTTGCAAAATGGCAAATAGTTTACTGCGGAGATTTCCATTTTACATTTATGCCGACCCCTCTGCCTTATTATGTGCTGTGTGCGGGATTTACTGGATCGCCTTTCAGTTAACACAAAATATATTTTATGGCCGCGCTGACGCTTGCAAATCCTTAAGTTTTTCATTGGAGTGGCCCCCCCCAAATAAGCTCATCCAGGGAAAAAGATAAAAGCTGGATGCGCATAAAGTGCTTTTTAAAATCAGCGAGCGTAAACTTAATTTTTGCAGATATCGCAAGCAATTGTTTCAAGCAGCCAGCTCGAGTATCCCCCACAGCAGCCACTCGAAAAATGGAAAACTCCAAAGGGAATGCGGTGCAGTTGATGGTTGCAGTTTATGGTCTGCTGCCACGCCCCCCGGCAGCCACCGCCCCCGCGTTTTTATAGGGCTTGGCGCGGCGACGCCACTTTTGGGCATTAAGCTTTTCTTTTCGCTTTTTTTTACCAAACACAGACAGCATTTTAAAGCTGAGCAGATTTGTGGCTGAGCAACGAAAGTCACGAAGCAAGTGACTCACTGCTGAATTGAGACAGCCAAAAAAGAAAGGCAAGAGCAGTGTAATAAATCCCCGAAAAAAGAGGGGATGAAAACTGCAGGCAGAAAACCTCAGGAGATTAAAATCTGTGCAGCCCACCAGGCGTATGCGTGATGCTGTCCACCCACCACACTCGCCAACTCATTTCATATGCTCGCCGGCTCTTTTCAATTACAAAGTCATAAAATTTGATTTCTCATACCGAGGATTCACATTCAATTTTTGCCTTGCCTCTGCTTATTTATGACCCACTCGCATATGTGTTATCCTTGCCGCATTTCTGCCATTTGCCAAGTGCCCGATGTAATTTCAACCTGACACATCACACGAGGGACACGTCTCGAGAGCTCACGAAATTGCTGTAAATGGATGCGAGTTAAAAAGCCAGCAATTTTAAATTGCCGCTGTCGACATTGGCGCCCCTTTTCGGTGCTTTTTGGGGCTGGCAGACGAAACTGGGGGCCAAATCCGGGCCTCCGAGGGGCGAATTCTTGCGCACTTGATGTTTATGTGTCAAGCTGCCTTTGGTTTACATTGCCTTACTCTTTCCTCGCTCGGCGTTGCCATGGTTGTAAATAATGAATGCGTTGATTTCGAATCATATATTTATGCCAGCGCGCTTACACCGAGCAACAAAATACGGAAAGCAATCAGGGTATAATATCTACAATGTCTCAGAATGTTTTAGTTCAAGTGGTTTTAAAGTGAGACTTCATATTTCAATGTGTAAAAATTGAGTATCGAAAAATGAATTAAGCTTTTAAATTCTAAAGAATTTTCAGTCATATTGTTCAATTTTTATTGCAATCAAAATAATCTTTATTGACAGTCCTGACAGCCCGAAAAATATGCAATGATGACTGTCGTAAAGTTTTCACACTATAAAAACTAAATTGTATTGTCTGAATAGAATAAAAACTATTAGCAAGAAATAAACATTAAACGATTATATGAAATATTTCTTATTCCGCAAATATTATGCATTAAACTTATTAAATGTAATTAAGTGAAACTTTTTATGTAAAATCCCTTAAAGCAAATTGATCGAAATTGTATTCCAATATTGGTTATTTTTTCCCATAGAAGATTAAATCTCGTACCACCGGAAATCCCCTAGAGCCGTCTGCGAGTTTCAGACGAAAAACCTTCAGTGTCATGTGTCGCAATCCTTTTAAATGGAATATCAAATATTGTGCATGTCCAACCTTTCCCACAGCATTTCCCCAAGTCAAGGTCAGAGACAGGGAATCGTAAAAGTGAGTGGAAAATGTGAGCGCCTGATTGTTTGCCATTAATTTTGTTTGGGAGTGTTGAACAACAGTTCGTGTGAAATGCCTGGCATATGTAGGCATTTCGGGATGTGTGTGTTTGTGTTTATCTGTGTGCATAATAAAATTTGTGTAAAGAACATGTGTAGAAACGAGAGAGAGAACAATAACATTTGCTTATCTTTAGGAATTCGCATCCTTCTTAGTCCTGTTATGGCGAATTTGTTGCTCCAGGTCTGACATTTTCACTGGTGTTTCATTTTTGATAATGTTTTTGCATTTAAAGTTTACGTGGGCGTATGAGTGATATGATTTGCATATGAAGGAGCGCCGCTGCGTGTGTGATGTAATAAAGCATTGAATTTTACATAAATTGCGGGTACGGCCTGTCTCGTTTCGTCTTCGTTTCCGTTTCCTGGTGGAAGACAACACGAAATTCGCTCTGCCTTTGCCATTTCCACACAGCCATTTGCATATTTCGGTACTGCGCCTTATAGTCTTTTGTTATTTTCATTTGATTATTTATGGTCCCCATATGAAGACCCAAAAAAAAAAAAACATCGATGATTTCCAGCCAAAGGAATTTATGTTCCTTACATAAATGCCCGTTTTGTCAAGTCAAACATTTGTTGTTGCCATTTTATAGCTCATTCTGTTGTTGTCGGTTGTTTTTTCGCACAATTTATTGGTTTTAAAATTATTTCCCTGGCGCGATGTGACATCATCATAAAAAATACAATTTCGCATTTATTTACGGAAATATTTTCAGTTAAAGTGTCGCTATTATCCCGGCCCATTGTCCTGCCGCCCATTACAGTTTGCTGGGGGCGTGGCAATCCCTGGTCACGCTTCACAGCTGCTAATTGTTGGCAAATTTTCAACTTGTTGGCCTTCGGC